GCTTGTGCCTATACATTGTATCGTTCGGGGAATCGTAGATCTTAAAACAGAGCCATTAACATCAGCAGTGGGAGAAACGTAATGGTATACCTACGTATAGACGAGCGAGTTTATGATTCGTAAAAACAAAAGTGATGGGGCGAGCGGGGGAGTGCACGCGAGAAACAAAAAAAAAAAGAAAAGTTAATTGGATGGTAATTTATTCCACGTTTGTACATGCATGTATTGTTATGTATAGCATACACGTTATAGCTTCGAAACAAAATATTTTCATTTGCAAAACTATAGGCGAAAGATAAGTATATGTATTATGTTAAAATAAAAAAAGTTTTAAGCCAACAACAAAGTATGGTCCATACAATTCGAGTGTATGGATTTCTTGTAATTTTCCTTCTTGTACATACACGTTTGGCAAGTGTATAAAAATACCCGATAGTCGAGGTAATTGTTACGAAGAAGAAAAAGAAGAGGATCCATGGTACAAGAGCAACGAACGTGCAGGTGTAGAAAGTACAAGCGATAGACGAGCGGAAGAGGGCAGGGTGTTGTTACGAGCCACCATATAATATATAATATCATAAGTAACAACAATTTGACCGGCTAACGCATAATAGCAAGGAATCCAAACGCCCCGGGCAGGCGTATCTCATCGTAGGTGTATATATATATATATATATATATATATATAGGCATTATTGTTATATTACGTGTATCCATATATATGTACATCCAGGCTGCGGATCTCCGTGGCAACTGCGCCACGCTCCGCGGGAATGTCGGAACGAAGCGATTGCCCCTTTTCCATCCGCCATCCTCTTCTGCAGCTCCTTTTCTCGACTGCGACCCGCAGGTATATAATATCTCTATACACGCATTATGTGGAATGCAAGCGCACAATCTCCCGTGCACGTATTATGTGCATGCTATAGGATATAATATTATGGACTCTTCGTTCCGTACTGTTGTCTGGGTATACGTTTGTGGGAGTGTGTTCGTACACACGTACATGCAAAATTCAACAATCACGATGTATATATGACGATACCGATGCACGAGTACGTACAGATTATATTCCTACGTTATACCTATTTAAGTACAGGCGTATTTTTCCTCGTATAGGTGGGGTGAAAAAATTCGTAAAGTCGGATGCATCTGCGGAAAGGTATGAAAAAAGTGGTGTATGGAGATAAGGTTGCGTGTGATCGAAAAATCCACTGAAAATCCTCTCGGTTACGGTGCGCTTCGTGAGGAATAATAATTGTGCAGATAGCTGTATAGGGACCGCAGACTCCGGGAATCGGCGAAAGGTGCAGCGTACGGGGCACCTCAAAATCCACCCGACTATGCGCGAACTCTTTGTCGAAACGGGTTAATATTAATTTCATGGCCCGATAACGTCGATTGATTTCATTGGGATTTCTCGAGGTATCGTGCACATTACATGATTAATGCAGTCAACGGTAAAGCAACAATATTATGGACTTTGGAAGCTGTGAGCAGAAAAGTGCAATAATCGATTCTCTCGTATAGGTACGAGCACCTCGCGGTCTCGATGAAAATGTGTGTACAATATACCGATCTCCTTTGCTCGCAACATCCGCAACATCTCCACACAGGCAACAACTGTACATTTACGTATACCAACTTACATATTATTACATGTAACGCTGACTTTGCGAAAATTTGCTTTGATTGGAGTGTGTCGCTCGCTGATTCCACTTTCGTTTATACTTAAGCCCGATAAATACATCGCTCGGCTGCTGATGCTCTTCTTTCCTTGCAAAAGTTCATTTCGCAACGAGCTCCTGTCTATCTGTCCGCCTACACTCGCTTTTACCTTTCCCTTATACCTGTATCAACAACCTAATTCTATCTCTCGTTAAAAATTCGTTTGTTGCAACAATAATTACGTGTCATTATGTTGAAAAAGTTGAATGTAATTATCAACTGCGTGATCATTAAGGGGAACAAAGCTATTTCGAGCTGCTTTGCTATTAGCCCGGCGTATTGTGCTTGTACTTTTCTATTTGAATCTTGATCGTTTATATCACCATCATCATTATTTAACATAAATTAAGCAAAGTACAGTAACGAAAGTACAAAGAGACTGTGATGCGGGATTATATTGATTAATCAATATAGGCGATGATCAATGGATAGTGCAGATGATCACAATTTGATATAAAATATATATACATGAATGCTATGAGATCAGTTGATATGATCGACTGGATTTCCCGCAATGATCTTTGATTATGATCAATACTGTGATCCATACATTTTGGTGGGAAAAAAATAATAAATAAATAAAAAAGGTTTACTGCATAAATCGTGCGATGTGTCGTTATAAGAGACCAAGAAAGATTGGGCTGTCGGGCGTGAGTGCCGAAAAATTTATCTCACCGGTGTCAGCCTCGTTACGTCTCGGTGTCGTAAAAATAAATAAAAAAAAAAAAGGGAAAATAAAAGGTGAATAAAGAAGAAGAAGAAGAAGAAAAAACCCGAGTAATAAAAGATCATCGGTGGCATCAGCCAGGCGTTCACGGCCTCGCTATCGCGTGGGTGTGCAAGTTTAAGTATATTCAGAATGAACGAATGAATCCTTTCACGAATCAAGGACCCAAGCATACCTATACATGTATGCGAGATGAACCATCCCGATTCTCAAAACGGCGTTGCACACAAAATCTTTACGATGTACCTTTGTTCTTTTTGCGTGGAGGCGCTTCATAATAACAATAACAATAATAATGATAATTATAGTTGGTATGTGTCTATACACACATAGATAGATCGGAGTTTGGTATACTTACACGGGACGAATGTATACGTGCACATAATGTTTGCCTTGACCTCAGTCTGGCCTCCTGCGCGCGTCTCCCGTAAAATTGTTATTGTATTTGCTGGAGAGAGAGAGAGAGAGGTTTAAAAAAAAAAAAAATTATTTATTTACCCCAGCTTGGAGTAAGAAAGAGCTCATCCAAAGCGAACGAAGGGAGAACGGGGCTATATATTATACGCTCGGGAAAACAATGACGTGGGCCCTCCCGAGGTATGTATTGAGGGGAATCGTAAGTTTGTCCGGGCGATCGAGCAGCGCGTTTATTTGCCATAAAGCGCAGGTGAGTCCGCGCTCGAGCGTCCCTCTCCGCTTGCTTCCGCATTCTCGGCCCACAGCCTCGGGCCGCGCTTAACCTTACGCACCGCGGTACTCTCTCCTCCTCTTTTAAAATTTCTCCGATGCACTTGTGGACCTACGTGATGGCATTCAACCTCCTTTGATTTTCGTAATGGCCCATGGTTTCGATGAAAAATTAACGACTCAACGATACGTGTATATAGGTGCTATTCAACGGGTGGATGTTGTTTTTCGCCTCAAACACCCGCCACTATAATATTGTACCTGTACTATTAGCAGATAAGTAGCATGTAGTTATTATATTATTATTTAACTAGCTCGTTTCATTAGTGACTCGCATCGCAAGTATGGGTATTATTAATTTTTGCTAGCACAAAGGCGTGTAAGCCAAGTAGCTTCCGATGCACGTTGTTGATGGCGTTTTTACCCGCGGTTCTCTTGTCAGTGACCTACTTAATCTGCATAATAAGAAAAAAAATCGAGCACATGCCCGCATACCTCCAATATTTCATATAGGTGCAGGTATTTATAAGCAACAATTCCGTGTGTTGAAATAGTCCCAATGATTATAATAATAATGATAATTAATTTTCTCGCAATCGGTTTTCCGTTACCGGTATGGGCGCACTGCCGCACCGATCCTCATTTACACTTGATCGTATTACGTTGAAGTTAAGAGCATTATACTTACCTATCGTGGCCTTTTAAAGCTGAGTTGGGTATTTAAGTAGAACACCGCATATATAAATGTCGGTATTATCTCGTATCGATATATGTATACTAACAACGCGCAAGTAAATAAAATAGTCAATGTACAGGTAAACGTAAAATTTCCGTTGTTTCTCTCATGTAAAATATATATATATATATAGCGAAAAAACCAATGGCTTGACCGTATAATATACCTGTACGTGGCGTCAGAGTTAGAGTAGTTGGAGTATAATATGTAGGAAGAAGAGCTGCACACGTTTGAAAGTAAACTGTGTACTTGTATACTATATGGTGGATCGAGGCTCGTTAAAAACTTTTAAAGCGAAGCGGCAAAAAAGCTCGTCTCTCCGTCCGAGAGGAAAGAAAGTGACGGAGAGTTGAAAATCCCTCGTTCGCGCCTATCGATCGCCGATACCCACGTACAGTATAGGTACACACACGTACCACACCCAGTGAGCGTTTTAATTTCCAACGCGATAGGTAATTAGAATTCGAAAAGCTGCGGAAAAGGGGCCATACAGCTCGCACAACCAAAGGCACCCATATACCCAAGTATCGGCTTTACGGATCATACGTACACACGTATATACCCTGCAACACAACAGAAGTGCAAGTACGGCAGCGTGCACGTATAATATATATACTTACAGCTGCATATCGTCCTCGGCTCTTTCTCTGGCCTCCTTGCATCTCTCCTTCGCCTACCTACATTCGCAGGCAGAGGCGCCCCGTGTGTCGTCGCCGTTCGTTGTAAATACTATACCCTATACCAACTCGTCGTCGTGGCCCTCTTGGCCTCGCTAATACTCTCTCACGCTCTCGATTCTCGGGGTCCTCCGCGAGTCCTCTCGCGCCGCGCGCTCTCTCTTCTGATGCCCGCGAGTAGGAAGAGAGAGCCTATACTCGGGCAGATGACCCCCGGAACGGAGATATATATAAATACATAGGTGTATGCGAGAAACTGATGAACGACGCGATGATGTATACGATCATCATGACTTTTATTTAGTTTGCGTATAGGTATACGGAATGTGTGTACAGACAGCAACATTGCCACTTTCGAGATAATAAATAGTATACCAATAATGTTATTATTTTTTAGTGAATAACTCGGCAATGATTGTAATAGCTCCGAATTTGTTGATTGCAGACGAGGACTGGGGCGCGCCGACGGAGGACCTCGACTACCTGGCGGACCGGGAGCCAACGAGCGTGAGTCTGCCACGGCTGCCGAGGAGCCCGGACCGAGGGGCCCTGATAACGTCGTCCTCGGTGCCGGTAGCCAACAGCAATGGCTCGCCCCTAAGGGCCCACCAGACGCGGGGCACCTCGCCCGTCACCAGCGGCTCGCCAAGCTCGGCGGCCAACAGGTTATTGCGCAGGAGCGCGGAGCACCGGCAGCGCTCGCCCAGTCCACAGTACCAGCCGCGGGTCTCGCCGGCCGACGGTGGGCTCAACTGCAGTCCCCGGGAGCGTTTCCACGACGCCAAGGAGATGTTCCGGCAGATGGAGCGCGAGGCCATCGTCGCTAGGATCAACAGCCGGCCGGGCCCCCATCACAGGTCGGTCCTGTCGTTTGTCTTTCATGTAATATACCTATTCATTGTCGCGTATTTTATCGTATATCTTCTACACTGAAAAAAAAATTTCGTTCGTTCAAACAAATTTTTTTCGAATCAAATAAATGATTTATAAGTATACGTTCAAATACATGTTTTATTTAAATAAAATAAATATATTTGTTTGGACACAATAAAAGTTTATTTTTGTAGAAAAAACGTATATTACAGATTAATACGCGTTTATGTGGAAGTAGTAAATATTTATCATGTTTTATTAAATATTTTTTTAATTCAGAGTAAACATTTCTTTGGTTCTAAACTAAATATAATATTCATTAATAAATATTTAGTAGTTATAAGGAAAGACTTATATAACATTAATAAATATTTATCAATTTTGCATAAATATTTATTAAAATGACAAGTTTATTTATTTGGATTGAACAAAAATTTATTAGTCTCAAAGAAATATGCATTTGAATCGAAGCTCTTGTATACTTAAAAGTATCAAATATGTCTTCCCGTTTAATAAATATTTATTAAAGTTTAAAAATTATTTATTTGTTTCAAGGGAAAATAAAATATATGTGGATAAATATTCAATTATTCTGAAAAAATATTCGTTTAATGCTAAGGAATATTGATCAATATTAAATAAATATTTAATATTGGGAGTTTAATACATTGGGAGACAGATTTATTTGGTTTAAATATATAGCTGTATTGTGACAAATAAATATTTATTGAAATCAAATAAATGTTTATTCATTTCAACTACATCCAATAATTAACGTAAACAATTATGTGATAGAGCTTATTAAATGCTCATTAGAGATAAATAAATATTTATTTATTTTGTAACCTTGGATTGTCTCGTTCAATAAATATTTATTTGTGTAAAACGAACACCTATTCGAATTGAATAAATGTTTATTTGATATTGAACCTTGTACTGTCTCGTTGGATGAATACCTATTTGGGTTAAATAAATATTTATTAATATTAAATAAGTATTTACTTATCTCAAATGAATATATATTTAACGAAATGAGTGCAAAGTTAAAAGTTAAATAAATATTTAGTTGAGGTGAATAACCACATATTTCAATTAAATAAGCAAATATGTAAAATGATATTAAGACTAGACAAATTTTTTCGGTAAGCGTGCTAAATAATTCATATATTTCTTTATTTAATTAAATATTTTCTATGGTTCAAATAAATATTTTTTCAAATTAAATATATTGTTTCATTCTAATAAACTTTTTTTTAAATGAAGTATCAGATTGTTCAATTCAAATAAACATCATTCAAATAAATGCATTTATTTGAAATTACTAAATTTTTTTTTCAGTGTATGTATACGTACATGTACCCAGTGAGTTATTTTGCCGCTCGACCGCATAGCCTGTATAATATTATATTGTTCGTGTGTGCTTCGTGAAAGTAATAGGCCAATTAATCTACGAAGGCTCAATGTTAAATTTGACGTTAGTGTTAGCAGAAAACAAAAAATACGTTGATACAAAAGAAAATGATTCAAGAAATAAAGCGGTTTTTTTTTCGGTTATTCAGTGGCTGAGTTAACCTAAAAAATTCGTGAAAGTTCGAAAATCACTTTTTTCGCGTTTGAAAAAAATGTTGACCTCCAATGCCGAAAAGTTAAATAACAAAGTTGTAGATCTTAAAAAAACCTATCGATTGACGCTCGTTGGATATAATTTGAATGCGTAGTTGCTGAGGAAACTTGAAAAAACCATCGAAAATCGTCTTTTTGTAATTTGTTAATAACTTTTTTCTTTTGAGATTTTAAAGTTGGTATTTGGTCAAATCATGAGTTTTTGGTTCACAAACCTCCAGTTTTTTTTTAGCGAAAAATATTAAAAATTTTTCGAAATATCGCATTTTTTCGAAAAAAAACACCTTTCGTAAAAACTTCAATAGACGTCAGGAAATAATGCTGGAGCGATTTTTCAAGGCTTAATCTCTTCGTCTAGACTTATTCTATCATGCAATGTTTGTAGTAAGTAAAATTTTTTTATTTTTGATGCCGAAATCGGACTCCGAAAAAAATACTCCATGTCGGAGCCGTATCGGAGCGCCCGAGTAAGAGCAACCAGCCAGACACACCTCATACCAGCGGGCAGTCGATGCGCGACGCGCAAATAGACTCAACTGTAACGTTATCATACCCATCGTTCCGCTAAAGTTAACGATTGCGAATAATTTTTTTTATGCAAAATGGGTATTTGTTAGTAAAGTGCGCAAGTTTCAGAGTTCTACGCGTTTTATCGTCGCATAGGGATTTTTTTAAAAAAAAAAACCTAACTTGGCTCCACATGGTCGTATCATGAAAATTTTTTTTTTTAATTCGTAAAAAAATAAGTACCATGAATTGCAGATAGTTATGTACGTGCAATTATCAAAATACGTAAAAAAAATGCAAAAAACCGATAAAAAAAAAAAGTAATTTTTTCGGAGTCCGATTTCGGCATCAAAAATTAAAAAATTTTACTTACTACAAACATTGCATGATAGAATAAGTCTAGACGAAGAGATTAAGCCTTGAAAAATCGCTCCAGCATTATTTCCTGACGTCTATTGAAGTTTTTACGAAAGGTGTTTTTTTTCGAAAAAATGCGATATTTCGAAAAATTTTTAATATTTTTCGCTAAAAAAAAACTGGAGGTTTGTGAACCAAAAACTCATAATTTGACCAAATACCAACTTTAAAATCTCAAAAGAAAAAAGTTATTAACAAATTACAAAAAGACGATTTTCGATGGTTTTTTCAAGTTTCCTCAGCAACTACGCATTCAAATTATATCCAACGCTCGTCAATCGATAGGTTTTTTTAAGATCTACAACTTTGTCATTTAACTTTTCGGCATTGGAGGTCAACTTTTTTTTCAAACGCGAAAAAAGTGATTTTCGGACTTTCACGAATTTTTTAGGTTAACTCAGCCACTGAATAACCGAAAAAAAAAACCGCTATGTTTCTTGAATCATTTTCTTTTGTATCAACGTATTTTTTGTTTTCTGCTAACACTAATGTCATCTTTTTCGTAGATTAATTGGCCTACAAGGAGGTATCGAGTCAACGTTACAAAAACGCGCGCTGTAAGTAGCTCCTCTTTCTCTCGGCTTGTATTTTAAATCATCGGAGGGGGAAAAACACCGGGGCATCGGTAATTATAAACAAAATCACGCGAGTGCGAGTATAATAAGTATATTTTGGACTGTGGCGCGCAATCCCACGCTAACGTATTATTACGGAAGTTCGCGTCGCTTTTAACTTCACGGAGGGGTAAAAAAGAGCCGAGACGCGGAAAAGGAGCTGAAATTTCACTCGGGCAATTTTATCAAGATCGGAAAACTTTCTATATCGAATCGACTGGAGAGCGCGTGTTGTATGGGGGAAAATTTCGAACGGCCGGTGTGTGTATGAGCAAGTAGCAAGCGCGTTATCGCGCGCGAGCGATCGCTAAATTAAACTTCAAACCTCGAATCTGTACCTTATACTTTATTGTATATACCTACGTGTAATAGTGGCTGTGCATCGGCCACCGGGGGAGGATACACGTGTAGGTAATACCCATTCGCGGGAGAATCGAAAGTTCGTGTAAATATTTTCGTACGACGGGCATCCAGTGACGTGACTCTTGCACCTCTCGATTTTCGATCGTCGCGTCGTGCGCAAGTGTCCGCGCATCGCAGCCAAGGCTCGTTTATCTTCTGCATCCGCGACGGGCACCCAAGTTTTTCACACTATTTTGTATCGGGTATAGGTACATCCCGTAGACGGTGGAGCAAAGAGCTATTTCAAGCATAACACGTGTACACCTGCACCGCAATGCATTCCTTCACGGCCTATACTGTCTTGGTTCTCTCGGGTTTCTTAGGCGTATAGATTACTCGCCAGTCGGAATATTTTATGCAAATTTTTTCCAGCGCGATTTCGAAAATCATCGGCGCTCGTCTACCCGTTCGGGGTCCCATAGGTACATATATATATATACACTCATCGGCTGTACCTACTTGTGTGTTATCGGTATGCGGCTATACGTCTACGTGATCGATGATCGTCCCGAACCGATTTTTGTTTTTCGTTTTTTGGCAGTAGACCATCGTGTACAGCTACAAGAGGAATGCAATTCCACGTTACGGAGCGCATAAAACAAGTTGAAAAAAGGAATGATTGTGACTTGAAAGTCGACTGAGCGCATAGCTACAAGTATGTATTATGCAGCACGTTGACCGGCAACGTTGCTCCAATCACCCCTATCTCGGGAATCTCGGGCGCTATTAATCCCTCAAAAGTAACGTAAATGTAAGCACCGCTATATTGTGTTATTGCTTTCCGAGGCCCTGTATGTACATGTTCAATATGGGTGTAGGTAAGGTATATATGTATGCACGAACGCCCGCGACAGAGTTCAAAGGGAGAAATCGCCTCGGCGCACTCTGCACGTATACCTATATAAGCGTGTGCCGCATTCGCGCAAAAGCGAATGTACTTACGTGTGAGTGTGCAATAACGAGTACGAGAGTCAACTAGATAGTTAGATATAGGTGCGTATATATTTATGCATTCGCCGCATGTGTTACATTCAATAGATGCTCGGCAATGGCATCGCTCAACATCGGCTACTTACGCTGCAATATAAGTAATACAGCACTCGTACGAGGTATTAGATCGTCATTGTCATAATTGAGCGCGAGAAGCCATATATATGTATAAGCCAGCGTGTGGCCCGGATACTTGGGTGCTGACCGTGCGAGCACAATTTCAAGGCGGCGATGGGAAAATATAAACTGCAAGTCAATATTATGTACAAGCGGGTTATGCGCGCCGAGGAAAGTTTCATCTCTGTGTATCCGCAGCCCCTTTCTGACCCCTCCTCGCTTCTGCATACCTGTACTCATTGTACTTGCGTACAGGTATACCTCTGCGTGAATCTGTCTGTACGTATATACGCCGGGCGTTAAATTGCTCGTCGGTCGGTTACACCGTGGTGGACCCCACAACGTCAATGGTCGATAAAAACAAGAAAAAAAGATACGTGAGAGCTTGCACCGCGACGTTATCCGCCTCTTATTCACTTTTATTTTATCCCCATTTCCCTCCCCTCGATTTCTATGAAATAAAAAAAAAATTGATGTGATGGCCTGTTTTTTTGTTTTTTTTTTGTTTTTTTAGAAAACACTCCCACGAACGCGTGATGGGAATTCCGTTTCGAAACCGCGCCACACTTAAAATCAGCTGATGCATCGCGTCACGAGAAATTTATCGACAAACGGATGATGATACACGGAATGACGTTTGCTCATCTCTCACTTCCGACGTGATGGACTTATACTCTAGAGAGCCAATAATTTTAATGGCCATCGGCCAAATAACCCTTTTTTTTTCTCTGTCCTCCTTTCTTACACACGTGCGAAACTGGATAAATATAATGGAACGGCTACAAGCACTTGCTCTCGCACATATACGTGTACATATATATATAT